AATAGGTAATATAGAAAAGTTACACATGTAGCCAATTGTATGCTCTCCTGTAGTGGTTCATTGAACCACAATGCCGATAAGTGATTAATAAAAGTCAAAAGACCAAAAAGGTTACCTTAATACCAAAAAAAAAATAAAAGAGATTGAAGTATTACCTGTTGTAACATTAGGTGCTAGCGAAGCTTTGGTTAATTATAAGTATCAGATTCCCCCTATTGTTAAGCTTGTTGTTTTTGTTATAATAACAATACTAATTATTTGATATATATACAGAAATATTTTTTATTCAACAATAAAGGAAGAAAATTTTTATCTAGTATATAGTAAACAGAGTTATAAATTTTCAATCTGCCATACAAAAAAATTCAAAAATACCTTCTATAAAACTATTTCTTATAGATATGGATAAAGCTAATAAACATGTTACATCTTATTGTCAATCTCATCTAGCTAGTTCAACATGGCTCTTTAGAATGATAGTTATAAGAAAAAATAGATCAGGTAAGACTAATATCTTAACAAATCTTTTTCTTGATGATAAAGCTGAATACATATATAAAAGAAAAAAAGGTGATAGGAAATATATTTTTTGTGATGATTTAATAGTTTGTGGTTATCATCCTGACAAGCCAAAATAGGCATTTGTTAGATATATGTATGGCATAATTTCAAAAGATCTGAAAGCACCTTACTATAAAAATATATGATTTTGCAATATATCATCAGAAAAAATCTTTAGTATAAAAGCATTTTCACCTAAATGAAGTACAGCAATTGTTTTTGAGAATTTGTGTCTTGCTTTAAAACATATATAGAATTGAATTAGCTAATTTTTTGAAAATAGGCAATATCAAAATATTTCATATATATTTGTAGCATAAAAATATCATAAAATCATTATATTTATGTGTGAAAATGCTAATTACTTAGTACTTTTTAATTCTGGTAATTTATATAAAGATGTTCCTAAAATTATTCATAGATATATAGATGATGTAAAAAATGCATTAATAGTTATTAATAGCTACTTATATAAAGGCAAATTTATTGTATTTGATCTAAATAGGCCTAAGAATGATCTATTTGCAATTTAGCTAAGATTTAATATTCTACTAAATTTGCAAAAAGAGATAAAGTTATAGCAAAAATGCAAGATAGGTTCAAAGAACTATTGCTCTGCAATAAAAAATGCATTATCTGCTGAGCCCATAAATTTTGAACCTGAAAAATCAAAATGAAAAGTCTATAGTGTTATAGTATGCACTTTATAAATTTTTATTTTACTTTGTGCACTACCCAATTGTGATCTTAAGAATAGTATTAGAAAAACAGTGTACAACACTCTATGCAAAAAAAGTTATATTAATAAATTAAATAAATGGATACATGTTATAATAAATTAAGCTATATATTGTTAATTTGACATGTTTTCTCTCTAATTTCCTATATGAGTTTATAATGCTTAACTAACCATATAGTACAAAGGCTAGAAAGTTGATAATAATATTCAATAAATTTCTTTTGTATAACTCTTACAGCTCAAATTTTTTTTTTAATCTCTCTTGCATGTTTAATTCTTTTAATAGCATTCTGCATCCATAATACATAATGATGAATTACTTCTTTTTCGAAGTAAAAGTTGTTAACTTCAGATCTGCTTTTAAGTTCCATATAGCTTTATAACTAATATCATAATAAGCATTTCCTGTGCAATTTGTGCCCCAATGCTCATCTATAAAATAATGAAATCTATACTTATACCCACATTCTATTTTAGAGTAAACTAGTTCATTGCATGAATAACATATTGCTATACTTACATCTACAACATAGCTGAAATTGTTTTCTCATACATATTTTATTTTTCTGGCAATAAGATATCACTTTTTATCATCAATTAAATAATTATTATTCTTATAATTAGTTAACTAATTTCAGATTTGGGTTTTTCAATCAGATGGTGTTTTACTTTTGTGGATTACTGGAAATTAACAGTTATCTCTCTATTTAATATCTCTCAAAACTGAACATTTATCTGTATAAACTATATTTAACAATTAAGTAATTTAATGTATTATATATAGTTTTTTTAGAAATTATGTGATTTATATTAATTTTTTTTTTCAGTGTTAAGATGACCTCTTTGGTCTTTTGACTTTATTAACATATTTTTAGGAATGTAGTTCCGTAAGGAGCTACTACAGGAAGAGTG